GCTCGTCTCCAAATATAAATGTATGCAGACAGGTGTTTGTTTTCTGTCAATACAAATCAAAACCTCACACTTGACAGATTAATATTTTTGACGCCTTCCAGTGAGACGCGTTGTGCTCGTGTGCGTTTCTGCGAGAGAGATCAGTAGTGTGTGTTGATGCACATGGAAGGATTTAATACCACACAGGACATGCAAGAATGGTGGTACAGTAAGCTGATTACAGCCACCTCGGAAGATGGACGGCTCAGGTGTCGGTCACGGAGATGTTGACGTGCATCGGTTCAGAATCGCAGCGTGTCATTTTAAGCCACATGTCTGAAGTAATGCAAACTACACGCCTGTGTCAGATTATATATCAGAAGAAACAATAGTTTCCAAATAGTGCCGACATGCTGAATATTGTTGTTTACCTGGACTGCATCCCTGCGGTATAACTCAGCAGTCGGGTCAAACTCATTTCCTGCAACGTGCTAAAAGGCCCGCAGGCGAGCGCAAACAACAGCTTTTTATTGCAGTTCAATACCTGTTAGACCTCACAGCATTTTGTAAAATGACTTCAACGACACAGTGTGTGTATATCAGTGTGTGGCGATTATTAAACCTGGTGTAGGTCTAAAATAATGCTGGGCGTTGTGTTTGCACAGATGTTTGTATACAGGAAGCAGAGACAGATACAGATTTTCTCCAGCCTGTCATCCATCATGATGCTGGGTTTCAAAAACTTGGTCCGACAAGACGAATCGCAGTCAGCTCCTGGTCATCCGCGGGGGAGACCCACAGGTAGCTGACACATTCAACCTTAAATCAGCCTCGTGGGGTCGGAGAACCGTTTAGCATGCTGATGTCACATTATTAATTTCCTGTATTTGAATTTCTCGTGCACTTGTTTGCAATCTGGAGCATTCACACTTTTATTATCCATTTTTCTTCCGCATGTGTTTCAGCATCACTCTCGTTCCACAATTATTGTGCTATTTCAACAAATCATGAATTAAAACGTTCAGCTCGTTCAGAAGAAAGGTGCTATGACTTTTGGTATTGGTGCAACTTTAGCTTTTTGAAATATTTAGCATTTTCTGCCGCTTTTTTCTCATAGAAAATGAATTGAGCTCAGTTTACATCCTTCAAATCTTTAGATCTGTTTACAACCTTTTACTGCTCCTTTCACATGTTGTTCAGCTTCTTTCAGCTGTCTTGTGCGAATTTAAACTTTTTTCCAGCTAATTTCAGCTGTTTTGTGCTCCTTTTAGATTCGTTCTGCTAACTACATTTTTGTGTTTCTTCTAACTTCTTTCTGCTAATTTCAGCTTGTTATGCTTCTTTCAGATTTTTTTCTGCAAGTTTCTGCTATTTCAGCTACTATTTAGCAGTTTTATGCTAATTTTAGCTTCTTCTGTTTTTTAACTAATTCCATATTGTTTTGCACTTATTTCAACTTTTTTCAGCCTAATTTAGCAAAAATGTGTTCTCTCTCTTGCTTCTGATAATTTAAGCTTTTTTCCTGATTTTTTTAGCTACTATTCAGCT